CCTCCTCTCTGACCCCAGCCCCGCCCACTCCCTCCTCAATGACCCGTGCATGCACATCTCCATCCCATCACAGGCCTCTCCAGTGAGAGCACCCCGTTACACAGAGCACCCCTCCAGCTTCTCCTGACTGCGACCCCTGAAGCACATGATCTTGTCTGAGGGCTTCTTATTGTTCCCAACGGGGCAAAGGCAAAGGCCATCAAACAGCTCCCTCCAGGGCCCTCATTTCTTCCGAAACATTGCACGTTGCCATTCCCTCCCTCAATTCCCCTCTTTAACGGTACAGACTCAGTGGGAGAGACAAGCGCACGGACTGCCGGTCCTGGTGCATCTTCCCGTGGAAAGAACCCAGGGGAGGTGCGCAGCCTCCGGAGGAAGCTCCCGGCTCTCCTGAGCGTCTGGCTGCAAGAGCCGAGCTGAGCCCGGGCCTGGCCCGGTTCTGGGCGGGGAGACAGTGGACGGAGGGGACTCGCAGCGGCCACCGTGCTTCCACTCACTCAGCCCCCCTTCCTCTTCTTGGGGAGACTCAGCCCTGCCTCGGGGTGAGGGGGGCGTGGGGAGCTTTTCTGAGGGTGGATGTGTCAGCTGGTGCCCAAGGGGCTATTGCCTCTGCAGGTGTAGCCCTGCCCGCGACGGAGCAGAAGGAGCGGAAGTGGGCATCCCTGTGAGCAGCCTCGGGAATGGGAGGGGGGGGTACGGGAGGCGGGGGGCATTCCAGGCAGGAGCGGGCTCCGGGGAGGACTCCTCGGATCAGCTCAGGGGTGACCATCCCCACGTCAGGCTGTAACAACGGGACGGAAAACCAAGGTCCGTCTGTGTGGGTATCTGGTCAAAGGCTGTTACCTTAATGCTGCGTTTCCTGTGCTTTTTCCCTTTCTCCAGTTGAAACAGATAGCCTTCCGAGTTGGCACGGCTTATTTTCAGCTCGTTTCTTCGGCTTTTCTCGGAGTTGAGTTGGGATTCGCTTTCTGTTCTTGGCAGAATGGGTGGGAATGTGACCCTGGCCGAGGCCCCTGCGCCGGGCTGCACCTCCGCCAGCTGCGCCAAGGCTTGTTGGTGCTGCTCCATGAGCCGCCCCAGCCTCGAGCCTGGGGACTCGGCAGGGGGGCTGTCGGGGGAAGGATGGAAGTTCCTTATGGGAAAAAGCACAGATCTGTTAATAAAACCTGATACATACATAGCACAGAACTCTTTAGCAGCCATTGTTTTGATATATTTCTTACTCCATAAATCATTTTAACGACCTTTTCATACATTAATTTCTTAACTCAAAATACTTCTATTTTGAAAATCACTGGGGGGGGGGGCGGTCCCTCAGCCCAGCCTGCGCCCTCTCACAGTCCGGGAGCCCTTGGGGGATGTTCGACAGCCCCTCTCACAGTCCGGGAGCCCTTGGGGGATGTCCAACAGCTAGCAGGCCTAAGCCGTCAGTTGGACATCCTTAGCACTGCTGCAGAGGCAGGAGAGGCTCCCACCACTGCTGCTTTGCTTGCCAGCCATGAGCCCAGCTTCTGGCTGAGAGGTGCTCCCCCTGTGGGAGCACACTGACCACCAGGGAGCAGCTCCTGCATTGATTGTCTGCCCCCTGGAGGTCATTGCACGTCATAGCAACTGGTTGTTCTGCCATTCAGTCGATTTGCATATTAGCCTTTTATTATATAGGATTTTTATTGATTTCAGAGAGGAAGGGAGATGGAAGAGAGATAGAAACATCAATAATGAGAGAGAATCATTGATAAGCTGCCTCCTGCATGCCCCCTTGACCGGAATCGAATCTGGGACCGTTCAGTCCGCAGGCTGATGCTCTATCCACAGAGCCAAACCAGCTAGGGTTATTTTTATCTTTAGACTAATCCAGCTTTTATTTATAACTTTCATTTATTGCACTTTAAATAGAAAAACTCCATTTTGAAAAATCAAAGAACTTTCCACTTCAAAATACCTAATAATGTTGGATTAAATTAAACAAAAATCCTTTTCAACATAAAGTTGAATTTGTATGAGAAACAGGGAATCTTCAAAGACCAAAAAATAAAGAAAAACAACAACCCTAAAAGTAAAGCAGATTTTGCATAAGCTGAAGCTATTAGGTCCAAAACGTCTACTGAGTTTTAATGTTTACACTGGAGCTGGATATGTGAGGCCATGGCCCCTGTGAGGTGGGGAATCAGGTCGGAGATGCCTGTATGAAGCTGCAACCCTCAAAGAGCTACATCCTCAACACAAAGGCGGAGTGGTGAGAAGCTCATTCACCAGCCTTGAGAAACGACAGGGCAGGCCTACCTGTCTTGGTCTAGGCTCTGAATTGGAAAAAAAAAACAAATTCTGTGAATTTCCATGGGAAAATATTTAGGGTTCACATTTACCTTACCCACATAATCATGGAAATTTAACACAAAGAAATTAACATAAAAATGATCCTGGAATCGGGGTGCCCCTGTAGTAATGGGGGAAACAAATAAAAAAGTTCTCTGGAGGGATACACTGTCACCCACAAAACATTTATGTTTCTCTCTCTCTCCCTCTTCCTTCCTCTCTGAAATCCATAAAAATATTTTTTTAAAAACCACATTAATAAGCAATTAGTTAAATCTAAACCATCCCAAATCCTAGAATAGATGAGGACATATTCTACCAAGTATGAGAGTTAACAGACAAATATGCGCACGCACACAAAGCAGTAGAATATTTCTAAGAACTTTAAATAATAGCATATTAGATAACATTCATAAAGTAAGCATGTTTAAAATTATTAAAGATATGAAAGAAGAAATAAAAACTCTGAGAAACAAATTTGGAAAAAAGAACAGGAAGGTTCTAATCAGAACCACATAAAAATTCTAGACAGAAAAATTACCCTCATTAAAATTTATAACTCAATGGTTACATTAATGAGCATTAACCCAACTGAGGAGAGTTATTTCACTGGAAAACTCATCAGAGGAAATTTCTCAGAAAGAAGCAGAGAGATAACAGCTGAAAAATAAACAGAGTTAAAAAAGACACAGAGACTGGAATAAGAGAATCTAATATACATGCATTTGGTGTTTCCAGAGGAAAAATAAAGCAAATATGGAAGACATAATATTCAAAGGGAAAATTGGTGGTAATTTTTCAGAATTTATGAAAGAGATGAATTCTCAGATTTAGGGATCACAGAAGAATAACAATTAGGATTTAAAATTTCAGACCTAGATAATTCACAGTGAAACTTCAGAATACTAAAAGCAAAAGAGAGACCTTAAAACCAACAAGAGAAAAATAGACAGATTACAAACAAAATGCATAAATATATTGATAAAAGACTTTTAAAAGAACACAAACTAAAAGATAGAAAAATAATGTTTTTAAAGACGTTAATTCTCTATCAGGTTAAACTATAATTTAAGATAAAGGATAAAGTAACTTCAGGTAAGTTTACCAGTGACACACATACTTCCTAAAAGAACATCTAGAGAATCCACTTCAGGAAAAAAGAATAAAATAGAAGAAAGAATATGAGGCAAAACCATTAATGCCAGGTGGGTGTGATGCAGTGGTTGAGAATTGACCTATGAACCAGGAGGTCAGGGTTCCATTCCCGGTCAGGGCACATGCCCGGGTTGCTGGCTTGATTCCTAATAGGGGGCCTGCAGGAGGCAGCTGTTCCATGATTCTCTCTCATCATTGATGTTTCTCTCTTGCTCCCTCTTCCTTCCTCTCTGAAATTCATAAAAATATGTTTTTTAAAACCACATTAATAAGCAATTAGTTCAATCTAAACCATCATTGACTCGAGGGGACCCAAGATGGCAGTGAGTAGGTGGAAGCTACATTTACCTCCTCCCAGGATCAAACTGGAATTACAACTAAAATACAGAGCAATCAACCTGAATAACCAATGAAGACTAGCTGAATAGAAGTCTTACAACAAAGGATTTGCAGAAGATGCCACATCAAAACTGGTAGGAAGGGCAGAGAAGCGAAAAGGGCTGGCCCCACTCCTACAGGCAATGGCTGAGATTCCGGAAGGATGTCTCAGCTGCAAAAGTTTTCCCTCAGGAAAGTGGGGTCTCAACCCAATGCCCGGGCTCCCCAGCCAAGAGCATCAGAGCCATGAAGAGGCACCCACATAACATCCAGTGTGAAATGCAGTGCGGTTTCTGTCTGCCAGGGAGAGACGGCGTCCACTGAAGATACAGGCACCTTCTTAGAGTGCCAACACACAAAGCTCATTTGCAGCCACTCACCCTGGGCTCTGGTGGAGGGAGGGTGGAGCAGACTCAAGTCATGTGAGGAGAGACTGGGGTTTGTGGCTCTTGGGAGGAAGCTGAAGGGAAGTCACCGGGATCCCTGTGCGGAGTTCCTCTCCCACACCGCACGTGCCATCTTTCTTGGGTGGAGCAATCACCTCCACACTGCACCAGCCTGCGGGGAAGCAATAGCCTCTACCTGGTGACTCACTGAGAACCCACCTCATGCAGCTCAAGTACTGGCAGAGGCTCTCTCAGTGACCTGGCCACACAGGCAGCTGCAGGCAGAGGAGGCAGAGGCAGATCTCGGGGATGGCAGGCCTTTTGCTGACCTGTCCCCAAGCGTGATGCTGGTGGAAACAGGCCTTGAGGGGCAACTTGGTCCTTTGCATGCACTCCAGGCACAGCAGAGGCAGCCACCGATTGTGGATCATTTTGTATCTCCAAACAGATTGCCCAGGGCCAGTCACAGGCAGCGTCTGCCATTGGCCTGCATCAGAGTCTCTCCCAAGAGGCCCCAGAACCAACACACCCTGTGTCCAGCATCAGACAACATCAGAGCAGGATCCAGTTAGGATCACAAGCAGCACATCCACAGGGAGATCGCGGCAGGAACAAGACCCTGCTGAGGCGAAATCTGCTCTGTGTGGTCAGCATCTGCACAGCAGCTTGTACCCTGTGGTCGGGGTAGATCCTCACAGTCAGCCAGCCTGAGGGTCAACTCCATGCCTTAATGGGCCAATAGCAATCAAGACTCAACTGCAGCAGAAGGGTCCACATACACACAAGGGTTATTCATGGAGCACCCAGCACAGGTGATCAAGGAGACTGTGCCACTGGATCCCACAGGACACATACTACATAAGGCCACCCTACCAAGGCTGGTAGTCATAGTAGACCTACCTCATACATTGAAACAGACACAAAGAGGCAGCCAAAATGGGAAGACAAAGAAACATGTCTCAAATGGAAGAAGAGGAGAAATCTCCAGAAAAAAATCTAAATGAAAGAAATGAAGGGAAATAATTTATCAGAAATAGAGTTCAAAACAATGGTTGTAAGAATGCTCAAGAAACTTACCACAGTATGAAAGAGGACATAAAACCATAAAAAAGAACCAGTCAGAAATGAAGAACACACTAGAAAAAATAAACCATAGGCTGGATGAAGCAGAGGCTCTAACCAGTGATTTGGAAAACGAAGTGGCAGAAAACCCGCAATCAGAGCAGCAAAAAGAATTTTAAAAAGTGAAGATAGATTAAAGGACCTTTGGAAAAACAGAAAGTGTAACATCATCCTCTTCATAGGGGTACAGGAAGAAGAGAGAGAGGAAGGGATTACTATTTGTAGAAATAATAACTGAAAACTTCCCAAACTTGTTGAAGGAAAAAGATATACAACCCAGGAAGTGCAAATGGTCTCGTGCAAGATGAACCCAAAGAGGCCCACACCAAGACACATCATAATAAAAATGTTGAAGATTAAGGACAAAGAGAGAATCTTAAAAGCTGCAAGAGAAAGACAGTCAGTTACCTACAAGGGAGCTCCCATAAGGCTGTCAGCTGATCTCTCAATGGAAACATTTTGGGCCAGAAGGGATTGGCATAAAATATTCAAAGTCATGAAAAGCAAGAATCTACAACAAAGACTACTTTACCCAGCAAGGCTATCACTTAAAATTGATGAAGAAATGAGCTTCCCAGACAAAAAATAGCTAAAGGAGTTTGTTACCACCAAACCAGTATTACAGGAAATGTTAAAGGGCCTTCTTTAATAATGATGATAATAATAATGAGTAGGACGAGGAGGATGATAATGATGAGGGGGACAAAGAGTATGAGGAGGAAAAGAAACAGAAACCGATGAACATAGTTAAAAGAATAAAATGGCAATAAATATA